CGTCGCAACAAAATTTGCGCTTTTGTTGGAAAAAAAGACTGTAACAGAAGCTATGTTTGTGAAAAAACCAGAAAATGAAAACATTTTTTGCTTGTTTTTTTCGCAAACTCGCATGCTGTTAATTTTATTCGATTTGCAACAAAAATTGTAGACATCATGAGGTAAAAAAACACAACTAGCTAAAAGTTACGTCCAAACAAAATCACACGAAAAAATTATCCATATGTGCTGTTTGTTTCACGTTTCTTTGCTAGCAGAATTTTTTGGTCGGTAGAACATGAAAATTCTACATAGCATTACTCTGATTAAAGTTGAGTGGAAATCAAGAAAAAGTTCTTTCAAAGATTTAGAGGAAAATAATTAGTGAAAAAATTTAAATCTTATTTAAAAAAAATCGGACATACGAGCATAATTAAGATAAATACTTTTAAAATGGTTATTTGTGGTACCTGATTTTGCGTGGGAAACAAACGAAAAAAATAAAACACACCCGAATAGAAAACTCCTCCCCATTTTCAATGGTCGTAACAATAGGTTTAAGCTAAATCGGGAACTAAATTTTCAATGTGAAGCAAAGACATTTTTATTAGCTAATCAATATTAATACTCACTATGAACTATATTTTTCTGAAAAATAAAGTGACTCTCAAAGCACGAGAAAAGTTTCACGCAATTTTAGATGTTTTAGTATTAACGATTTGAATTTTTTTTAATTGATAGTCTAGAAAAAAGTTTTTCAGCATTAACGATTTGAATTTTTTTAATTGATAGTCTAGAAAAAAGTTTTTTATCGGTTGCTAAAACCTTGTTAATTGCAAGGATAACAGTGTAGTAAAAATTACGTTTTTATTGCTAGTAAAAATTCGAAAGCGATTTTTCAATAACTGATTACTTGAAGCAGTTAACTCTTGAAGAGAACGACTGGGACATAGTGGACTGTCTCTCCCATGAATTAAAAAAACGGGAAAAATTTTTTACTAGAGCAAAATTTACTTTTGAGCATAGTACATTTTTCGGCCCTACTGACTGAACTTTTCAGTTAATTTCAGAGCGACTACTTGGTATGTTTAGGGGGAATATTCTTCACATGACCCAACCATTAAACTAACCCAAAAACATCTGAAATTTTTTAAGTGACAGATCATAACTGTTGCTTCGCTTGGAAAATTGTGAGCCTGGAAAATTGTGAGCAACAATTTCGAGCTGAAGCGCATTACTTGTGTACGTTATTGAGCTAAGAAAAAGTTTAGCTCGTCCATTCCAAAATAAAAATTTCAAATTATCTAACTTACAAAATATGTGTTTCAATCCGCGTCCAGACAATTCGGCCAAAGACAATTCAGCCGATTTCAAATTCAGACAATTCAGCCAAAAGTATGCAGACAATTCAGCCAAAACTACGCAGACAATTTTTTAATCTGATTAGTGTTATATCCATTTCAGGCTTCAATTTGCACTTTATTTTTAGATTTGTTTGAAAATTGTTGAGACAAATATTTCAATTACACTTTTAAAATAATTATTTTCTGAAGCTTTTTTGTTGCTTTCAGTTTGTTTTATTATGCACATTTTAGAATTAACGAAATCATATTGTCTTTTTCCTCAATTTCAATTCAAGAATTTGTTGTCTAATTGGGAGTAGAAAAAGTACTAAAGAACTAAAACAAAGAATTATTGTTAACATTGAATAAACAAAAGGATTTGAAAAATTAGATCACAAAAAAAAACACTAAAAAGGTTCGGAAAAACTTAATTTTGAATCTTCAGCTTTCTGCTGAGAATTCTGTTTTTGTCTTTTTATAGCAATTTCGAGTAACTAAAATAAAAAATGGATTGTAGAATTTTAAAAAAAAACTGGATTCACTTTATACTGCAATTTATAAATTTAAATTAAATCGTACTCTAATTTTATGGTCTATAATCGAAATATTATTAAGTTTGATTATAGATTGCACAACTAAACTTAAGAATGAACAACAATAGAAATTTTTGTGAGCAGGCCTTTTGCTGTTTGAGAAGGAAGATTAAATCTTAAAAAATGTCAAGGAAGATTAAAAAAAAACTTCAGCATAAGAAAAGCTAGAACGCTTAATAGAGTGAAGAGAACTTGTTGTCAGTTTTTTTTTACAATTTTTGATTGAAATCCAGGAAATGTGAAATACAGGAATTCATAATTGAAAATAACTCGCATCAGCGTGAAACAAAGTTTTCAAAATAAGCAATGTACAAATAGCCAATTTTTCTTGGAGAACTCACTTAACTGTTAAATATACTTCAATTCTGTAATTCTGACAAATTTCTCAAAAACGGTTGTTTGCATTCTTGCTCGTTTATGAATTATCAAATCTATGAACATATAACGCTTCTTTTGTTATTTTTTACTCTTTCATTCGTTTTACTACACAGAAGTGGAGCTGATCTTTAAAAGCTTGAAATAAAAAAAACGCCACAGAGCCCTAGAAAACCATGAAAACAGGCCCAAAAAAAACACCAAAATTTCTATTCGTTTGTCTCAATTTAACTCATTAACTTGACAACTTGTGGCAAAACACAAAGGCCATCTTTGAATTATCATCAAAAGAACTAATTTAGCGGCAACTATGCAGACAAAGTATGGGTAGACGCCCATTGAACCGAGAAAAAAAGTCAAAAGAATCCCAACGCGATACTTCTCAATAGAAGCAAAATTTCACTTCGCCTACACAAACAAAAAATAACCGATAACGCTACTGGGAAATTTTAATGAGTAAAACTTTGAGTCTACAAAAATTCTTAAGTGACGCACGCCAATTGACGCATTAGCAATAGTATTCAACTTGATATAAAAAGAAATTTACCAACTAGCATGCCTCGATTTATACAGCAGTCTACGGAGCAGTAATAACATGAAAAAAATGAATGTAATAAAAAAAATGAATATTTTTTTAAATTGAGATTTAAAATAAGTTTCCCTTAATCAATTTGGAACGATTTCATGACGGATTTAATCTCCGCCATTAAATCTACAAACAATATTAGCCGGTAGTAATATCTTAAGCATTGGCTGTACTGAATAGCTGGTACTGATTAAAACGAACATGTTTTCTTTCAACAATATCTGCGTCGCAACAATATTTGCGACTTTGTTGGGAAAAAAAAGATAGTTCATACTATAACAGAAGCTATGCTTGTGTAAAAAATCAGAAAATAAAATCATCTTTGCTTGTATTTTTTCGCCAGCTCGCCGTGCCATTAACTTGATTCGATTTGCAACAAAAAATTGTAGAAATCATGAGGTAAAAAAAATGACAACTAGCCAAAAGTTACATCGAAACAAAATGACACAAAAAAATTATCCATGTGCTGTTTATTTCACTTTTTGCTAGCAGAAACTTTTGGTGGGTAAAATATGAAAATTTTACATAGCATTAACCTGATTAAATTTGAATGAAAATCGAGAAAAAGTAATTTTAAAGATTTAGAGGAAAATAGTTAGTGAAAAAATTTAGTTATTATTTTTAAAAAATCTGACACGAGCAAAATTAAGATAAAAACTTTAATTTTGTGATCTGATAGTTTTTAAGACACTTTAAGCCCGAGTCTATTGCTTGAAAAAGTTAGTTTTACAAAAAAAAGATAGGCAAGAAAGCACTTACGCTAAGTTTAAAATCATTTGATGAAAAAACTGATAAAATTATTCCAAGAAAACTGAGCATGAACTTTTATCAATTACCATCGCCAAAAAACTATGATAAGAACATAAGGCAGCTTAAAAAATATCAAAGAAAAACATTCGAACAAAGTTTTTTTGAAAAGCAAAAAGTCCGAAAAAGTCGCTTTTTAAACCCTTTCAAAAGAGGATTGGAGAAGTGAAGTTGCAAACAAAAACTTTGTCGAAGTTCAATCAAAAACCGACCGGTATCTAAAAGAAAAGAAACATTAGGTGAATAAGCCGACAGAATTGAAGCAGATACTTAACAAGCAGAAAAACAGCTGCAAGATTTTCAGTGAAAGAATCAACGGAAAGATCATGCATCTACTGCTTACAGAGCAAGCACGAGCTCTATAGAGGCAAAACAAGTTAAAATGCATATTTTCAATACTACCATTTCGAACTGCCTTTTAAAATTACCTTTGCTAACAAAATTGTTACACGGCAGAAAATCTAGTGCCCAGCTGCAACACCCTGGCGTATCACAACCAAAAAGTACAAAAATGAGCAGTAGAAAAAAATCTCAGCGATCCGAACCCTTGACTCCCAGAGATCCCTTGTCTAATGTATTCACAAATGGGCCATACTTTGCTGCTTCTAAGATACCGACCACAAAAAAAGCGGATAGAATTAGAGCAGCGCACATACTGAAATTGAACCGTTTTTGTTGAGTTTTTATACCGATTGAAAAATAAACTATTAATGTAACAACAAGCGTAGTTATGAAACAAAAATATGAAACACGAGTCGAGAAAACTGTTCTTGGGTACTTTCGTTTAAATTTTTGTAGGCTGAAAGAATTCAATTAGAAAATTATTTCAAAGATGAAATAAAGTTAAGAACTCAACGGAATCACAAATCATACCTCATTTGACACTTAATGGGCTGTCCTGGAGTATCTAAAATCGGGTGGAAAAAACCATACCCTTTGGAGGAAGGGGGTTGGAACAGCAATACTTTGCAATAATAAAGTTCATACAGTCGCACCCGATATGTCTACTTCGGTTTCTATCATCAATCATCAATACACTCTTCTTCTACTGTCTGACAATAAATTTCAAAAGTTTATTATAAAAATATTGTACAAAATTAATCTTTTCATCGAATCAACTAATATCAGAAGTTCAAATTGAAAATTAAAATTAAATCATCGAATACTTAAGTAAAATTTAGCAAAAATCTGCAAAGAAATTGAACAAAATGACTTGAGAGACTTCAGAGTTTGAATTTGCACTAGCAAAAAAACACTGATGACCACTAATAGAACTGAAACTAATTCAAAAACCATAAGTTTGACCAAATTAAAAAAAACATGGATGATTCGTGCATAATTATCATTTCAATACATTCTGCAGTCACCAGTATTAATTACAATGGCACTAGGAGGTACATAAATATCAAAAAAGAGAATCTGTCAAAAACAACGAATAGATAAATTAAAGAATTTAGTTTCAAAAAGCAAGTTTCATGTCATGGTCTCATAGCACACAAAGCTTTCTGTCAGCTCATCAAAAACATCTGCTCTGAGCTCTCGTCAAATCTGGTCACCGTTTTATCTGTTCACCTAAGACACAGAAACCAAATTTGGACATTTTAAAAGTTTTTTAGGCAAAATGTAATTTTCAAAAACTGCTCGATACAATCATAAAACATGATGATAAAAAATCCTTAATTTTAAAGTATTCATTGACGTTTCAATTCAATGATCAAAACTTCTCACGGAGCCAATGTAAGCGTGAACTAACAAACCTTCATTAAGGACTCTGCTCTTAAATTTCTTCGAAAGTAGGGTACACTTTAGGGTAGACACGTGAGGGTTTGGTGGTCCAAATAGGGTGATGTCACCTCCAGTTTTTGTTGTTGTGGAATGCCCAGTTGACATTTGTAGTCCAGGAACTCTTGATGGACTCGTTGATCTTCTGGACGAACTTCCTCTCCGCCTCCTCGGCACTGTCGCCCACGAACAGTGTCTCCCTCGCGTAGTTCACATCCGAGAGACTCTTCAACTCAGGCATGCCTGCATTCTTCATGGCGTAGAGCATGTTGCACACCATGTCAACATTGTCACGCAGCACCAGAAATGCCTGAATAACATTTGTCAATTCAAACTTAACGTTAACGTTTAAAGTCATTAACGCTTTAAAAGTCATTAACGTTTTTTCGCACTATTTCCGGTTTCCTAATTGGATAGCGCAATTTTCCTAACTTTTAGTAAATTTACTTGTTTTGAACTCAAAAAGTACATATTACTTAAATGCATTCATGAATGAAATAATATGTATGATGTATGTTAAAAGATCATTTCAAAACTCATTTTAATAGCATCATCAAGATCTATTTACGATTGAGTATTTCAAAAGAAAAAGAACATATGACGAAATTTTATTTTGACTTTCTTTCACTCTTTCATGATTGACGACACGTTTATGAATAAAATAACTTTCTTCGTGAGAAAAATGACTCAATAGCTTATTGGTGAGGCAGATTAACTTGAAGTGGAATTACAAAAGAAACCAAAATGAAACCGAAAAAAAAAACTCGAGCGTGAACAAATTTTGAAAAGTGTGTCGTAAAAAAAACTTAATTAAAACCACAAGAGTTCATTAACACTTGAAAATGATGATGACTATGATGAGGACAAGTTGTCTTGCATGTGATGACTTACCTTAATGCACAGATTTTGGAAGGACTTGAAGTTCTCTCTGTAGGAGGGGTTCTGGTCATTGGACTCGAAGTCGCGGTTGATGATGTACATGAAGGAGGCGGGCAGAATGAGAGGCACCCGCTCCCGGTTGATGCCAAACTTCTGCTTCTTCCGACCCAGAATGTGGCCAAAGTCTATGTGAAACAGTCTGCCAGACCTATAACCCATTATAGATGCAATATTTTACTATTTACTTTATTATAAAGAAAAGAAGTTAGATGAATAAGAGTCACATGTCATTCACTTACTATTTGGTTGTTGAAATAAATCAACAAAGAAAAATCGTGGTAATTTGGTTCCTTCTATTGTCTTAAGGACGCAACGTTCAAGGCCTCAGTGTTCGATCCACTTTACATGAAACTAGCAAAGGGGTTGTCCTGGAAGAATTAGTTGAGCATGCTTTTGTAAACATATAAGACAGTAAAACATATTATTACCTGTGTACCATGATGTTGTCATTGTGTCTGTCTCCAATTCCTAAGACATAGCTGGCCACACATGAGCCGGCACACGAAAACACGAACTCCTCCACCGCTTTCTTAACCACGTCTTCAGGCAACTAAACACAAACATCATCCTTTGAAATAGTGGGATCTTTTGCACTATCGCCCCTGCACATATGAAGAACAAGTTTCATCACATATACACAATGTTAAATTATTTTTTAATTTTCAAATGGGGGAGGGGATAGAAAGCTCCGGTCCATTTACCAACAAGAAAAAAGAAAGTATAGCAGCTCCTAGTCTCAAACATAGCCAACAGACAGAAGGAAAAAAATTCAAAAAACGCAAGTAAACAGAAAACATGGCCAACAGACAGTTGGAAAAGAGTCAATGAACGCCAGTAAAATGACAAAGACTTTCGAAGTTCAAAGAAAAAACTTTCGACTTTCAACTTTCGGTTAAGACCTTAAAGCTCTTTGAGTTTCTAGAACAATTTATAGTTGATACTTTTGTGATAAAATTAAACCAAATTTGATAAAAAACGGTTTCAATAGGTAAAGTTTTTAATTCGCTTTTTGAAACGAAATCGATAACGTTTTTTTGTGACCTTTACCCTTTCGCTGTTCGATTGTGGAGTTTGCCTTCCTTTTAACAAACGAAATGAACTGAGCTTCAAAAAATCAAAAGTCAATCGAACCGCGAAAAAATAAAATTGAGCGTGAACTATATATATTTATGACTTAATGATTTAATGATATTTTAAATTAGATTGCGATTATTACAATTATATTTATGTGTTCCTGTTTCTGCTATGACCGACTGCAGCTTAGAATGATTTGAAAACCTCAGAAAACCTTACTGAAAAGTGCAAAATGAACACAAAGGTCATAGCCAACAGACAGTTGGAAAAGAGTCAATGAACGCAAGAGAAAAGGAAAAAATACTGAATTGTTTTTGATACAACCTAAACTTGCGAAACTCGAAGTAAAAAAAGGGGCTGCAATGCTCTTTGAATTTCTTGCTCAATAGTTTATGAGAGCATTTTCTTTGTAAAATTCACTCAATTTGAAAAATTGGATCAATTGGTGAAGTTTTTATTCCACTGGGATATCTGAAAACTAGAAAACTCCGAAACCAAGTCGACCTTTTTGTCCCGTGATTTTTACTTTTTTTTTGCTGTTCGATAGTGTAATTTGCCTTCTTTTTAATAAAGGAGACGAACTGAAGTTAAAAAAAAAAATCAGTCGAACCACGAAAAATCAAATTTGAGCGTGAATAAATATAAAACTTTTTCCTGAAAGAAAAACTTTTAAAATAATCTTCACGACCTATGTAGGAGCCTTCACTGCGTTCATCGCTTCTTTATGAACTAACAAATCCAAATTTCATCAGTACAGAATAAAAAAGTTGAAGTATACTCACTGGTTTATTAGCATTGTGTATATCTGAGGCTAGCCACAAGTATATGGCATCCTTGCTCCATGCTGCCGACACAGCTCCGAAAGCCTTCTTCTTCTCCTCGTTGTACCACTTCTGGATCTTGCTAATTGTACTGGCACTCTGCACCATCTCAATCAGACCACTGTCCACTTCTGCAGCCAAACATTTGTAGGATAGAAGACGCAAGTCTAGGTCTACCACAAACAGACATACATAACAATTTAAATCGTACTATATTTCCGTTTCGAATCATCGAAAAAATCTAGAGATTGAGGGTCATTCTTGAGTTCAACAAAAAAATTCGACGTAAAAATCTATCGAAACATTAAAGGATTTGGAACACCTGAAACTTATACCAATCCTCAGAATAAAATTTGACGCTCAATTAATATCAACAGGCACGGAAATGTCCATTAAAAAATCACAATGTGAGTGTGCCTTCACCTGAAAACCCATCCATGTCAGTCATCTTTACAATCTAAATAGTTCCGTCGTTATAATGAATTTTGTTAACGAAATCAATAAGTGTCTTAGCAAAATGCGTGCGGGATTTGGGCTCTTTTCCAGTTCCCCGCTCCCCTTCAAATTCAATTTTGAAAAGTCTATTTAACGTTGTCATAATGCAATGAAATTAGGCGTGGTGAACAAATCGACAACTGTGAACAGATTTGTTCTTTATACTTTACAGCGTAATATCACGCATTTAGCCGTAATAACACTTAAAACAAACTTAAAATTCGGTATTTTGAAAGGGGGAACTGGAAAAGAGCCGAAATTTGGTAAATATACATCTTAAGGCGGTATAAAAATTATCGTTAATCGCGCGGTTATTTTATTGAAACCCCCCTTATTGGAATATTTAATGGCGCGTGCTATTTTATTGAATTCCTTATTGGAATATTTTTGTTCAAAACAAACAATTTCGACAATTTAAATCGCCGATAAACTGGGGAGTAAAATTTTGCTTCCTAAGACAAAAGTTGTCGTGAATTACTTTTGAAAAACAGCATATATCCTGCAGAAAAAATCATCACAAAATTTTTTGGCTGATAAGTTTTGATCTGTTCACTGAAAATCCTATAAATAAACAAAATAAGAAAAAAATCATGATGCAAAAATAAAACATGTCGATAAACAATAGATCGAAAAAAGTGAGTACTGGACAGTTTCATGGAAATTACTCATCAGAAGTTTCGATTGCTAGAACCTGTGCCAAGGTATGGAAATTTTGCCAAACCCAAAAACCTGAGAATGGTCAATAAGAAATCAAAGTATACGCAGATACGAGGAGGAGCAGACAGACAATAAGTTGGAGACAGACAATAAGACGGAAGCAACTAAGTCGGAGAATTTATTTTTTAATTCGAAAAACAAAATTCAAAAAATTGTCGCGAATGATCTTCAATTTGAAGAAAATATAACAAAAAAAACAGCATCACCGTAATTAAACCAGCATTAAAAACCATTTGCCTAATGGTAACTAAGCCGACAAAACTTACGAAGAAAACAGTTGAGCCGAAAATAAAACGATGTTATATATCTTAAGTCTAGTTCTTTGTAATAAACAAAAAAAATATCATTTATTGCAAATTAAATAACGCAAAAGGAAGTAAATCAGTCACAATAGCAAAAATCGATACGGTTAAGTTGAAAAAAAAATTATTACTATACAAAATCAAACGACAAAACGACTTTCAATCATAGTTAGACTCGCGTCAATAAGTTTCAGAAAAAATTTCCATTCATTAAAAAAACAAGCTTCGGCGGGAACTCTAACCCTAGATCTTATGTTCCAAAGGCGCAGGCTTACCTCTGGACTAAATTGGAAGGGACCTGAGAGATGTTGAAGATCTGTATTAAATCAAGGTACAGATACATGCATACTTACATACATAATTATTAAATACATGATAGAAAATGAAACAAGACATGGTCGGGATTCGAGTCTGAGACCTGTCGCCTGTGCAAAAACAATTTACAACAAAAAACCTCTAGTTATCGATTACAAGTAACTTGGTCTCACGAGTGAAAAAACCGATATTTACTACATTCAAATGAGCAAGTACCAGTTAAAAAAAATTGGGTGTTTTAAATCATATGTATATATATATATAACTTTTATATTTAATCATTCTAATACTGTTTAGAATCCAGCCTGACTGGACTCAATCTTGCTTGTTGATTTGTAAACTTATATCAAAAAAACATATGTTCTTTAACCTCCGGTTTATGTTATTAAATTTAGATGATTGTCAACAAAAATTGAGTGAAAAAGATTACGGCGTAGTGTGTTGTTTATTGCACAAGGATGACTACCTCAAAAAAATTAAGGTAGGCCAAGTGTGTTACCGAATCAAAGCTTAAGCCGTCATTCGGAACTCAAAAATAAATTTAGAAAAATTTTTGTCGGGAAAAACCAATTTGATTTTTTATTTCGGACCTTTTCCAGCGGGGAGTGAACAAAGCTATGCACTCCCAAAAGTTTCCCTCAAATACCAAGCGGTTTTATCTTAATATACTTAGGACAATTCTATCTACCTTTGATTTCGATTCCAAAAGGACACAAGAAATCATAAAACCAAATTATGCATAAATTATTGAGTTGAAAAATTTCTGGAGCCATTATTATTGTACTGTAGTTTGAATTAGCTTTACTGTACCTTTATTCAGTTCATTTGATTAATTAAAAAAGCACCAACTGTGTTCACTTAATATTAATCGAATGTCAAAGCACATGCTATCAAAAGCCGTAAGTTTGCCATCAACTGATTGGGTGCCACCAACTGATTGGGTGCCATCAACTGATTGGGTGCCACCAACTGACTTCTTTTTTAAAAAAACTTCAACTTCCGCTTATTTGATAAAATAAACACAATTTGAGAAATTTGGATCAAAATAAATTTGATCAATTGGCTCAAAATAAATTCGGCTGAAAATTAATTTATATTTTCGAAACTAGAAATCGATCGCGTTTTCATGACATTTACACTTTTGCTGTTTGATCTCGCTTTCCCTTGAACAAAGGAAATGAACTGAATTTAAGAAGAAATCAAAATTCAAACCGCTGAAAATCAAATTTTGAGCGTAGAGAAATTTTCAGACTTTCCTGAAAAAGCCAAGAAAAGAAGCAAAATCAAAAATTAATCAATTTTGAAAAATAAATGCCCTCGACGCCAATCATACTTCAGTCCTCGATCATTCAAGTCAACCGCCATACACGACTGACACTTGAAGCACCGAAATACTAGCCACTGATCAAGCTGAGAAAAAATTCTATTGAACTGTCAATGCCGTGCAGCAAAATTTGCACTAAAAGGCTAGAAATTGAGCCGATGAAAAAAAATTATACAACTCCTTTTACAAATTTGCTGTTCAATAGTGGACCTTCACTTCCCTTGAACAAAGAAATAAATTGAAACTTGAAAAATCAAAAGCCAAACCAACCCGCGAAAACTCAAATTTGAGTGTGAACAAATTTTTCGACTTTTTCCTTGAAAAAAACTAAAAACACACCACCAAGTAGCTATGAAAGAGTATATTCTGAATTTTATTTCCAATCTTGTTTCATCTTTGCACCAGTCAGCCTTCTTTAAACGCAAATATCGTGACACTACTTTTTCAATCAATCGAACTGAAATATAAACTTTTGACAAGTTGTGCTGTGACTTGTTTTCTCACCGTGCTTTAGCCACAACGAGTTGAAGCAGGAGAACATCTGCAGTATGAGCACATCTTGTCTTAGATCATCGCCCACTTTGAACATGAGTTCAAAGCACATGCCACTGCTGCTGCTGCTTCCCCCTCCCCCTACAAGTGTAGACATGGACCCCCTGCCACTATCCCCATTCCATGACACAAGCGAAGCGGACGATGAGAGTCTGCTATTGCTACTGTTGTTGTTTATTTGTTTATTCAGACTGTTGTTGTTGTTTTGCTGCTGCAGTGCACTAACACTTTCTTCCACGTGGTACACTAACCGAATTGGTTTCATCTTGCTCTTCATGCACTAAAAAGCACAGAATTTTCATTTTTCAGTACGCAGTGACTTATAGGCATGTCTAATATAGACTGTGCACTACGCATACGAAGTCCAGCGTACAATTATTTGAAATGATCCGGGACTCAGGCTTCGTTAGTTCCAAGCACTAAGCAACTGCAATCCAAATTACGTGGGGGATGGCAATCTCTATTTGCTGTACAAAACTTTTTATGGCCAAATTTAACAGCCAGTTCGAAACATAAACTGAAACAGCGACTTTTGATCAGAAATTACCCAAATCCAGTTGAAACCAAAAAGATGTTCAGTTTAGACAACTGTTCTAAGTAACTGTTCTAAGATAACTGAAAATACATAGAATAATTTTTATGTTTTTTAAACCCGATTAGGATAAGGAAAGAGTGAAATTTGCGGTGCTCACTTTGCACTCAGTGGGCTGTAGTAAAGAGAGGAACTTGGAGGGGCAGAGTGGACAGAGGAAGTGTTGCAGCACGGGACTGTTGGCCTGGAGGAACTCCTGCAGGATGAACGACTGTTTCTCCACCGACGCATTCTCCAACTTCTTCAGCTTACCACCTATGTCCTTCAACTTCTCCATCACCTAACAGTACACACAACAAAACACAAGTTAACACCAGGACTGTTCATTGATGAAGTGCTTACGCAGCGACGAACGACTCAATAGTAGTAATTAAGCCAACTTAACTCTTCGACATTTCTGATAACTCAGTACAACAAACCAATCATAACACTTGCGAGAACACGACCAAAAAGCAGCTCTATCAAGTGAAATAAGAAAAAGTAGAACTAAGCCTCGAATTAGCAAAAAATCGGCTACGTGTGGGAATTTTGTAGAGACTTTGAGTCTCACGCAGTATCCACTCAGCCACGCAAGCTTAACAAGCGACAAACACTAGTCACGAATGAAGCCAGCTGCAGATGCTCATAACTTGCCTATGCCATTCAGCAAAAGTGGCACCAAATACAAATAGACTCAACTTTGCATGTAATAATTTGGAATATAACAAACTGAAGGCATCCACGCTAACTTTGTATGAACAAATTGCAAAGCATAAAGCCACATTATGTATACATTATGCATTTCAAAAAATTGCTAGATATATTGAGTTAGAAAATTTCTGAAATCGAGTTTTCATTTTGATGTTGTTTGAAACAAATCACTTTTTCGGTTCATTTGATGAATTAAAAATGCATCAACTGTGTTAAATTATTAGTATTCGAATGCCAAAGCACATGCTATCAAAAAGCTGTAAAGGTGCCCCACCATTATTGGGATGCCGCGCCATAAAAGTGCCGCACCAATATTTGCGACTTAGCTGGAAAAAAGAAGGTTCGTACTAATACACTAGCTTCGCAAGTGTAATTATTTATACGACTTTTAACTGCTTCCCCGCTATCGGTGATTATCTTTTTTCCAAATAATTTTTCCAACTTATTCCAAAAAAATTGTCTTACCGTAAGGGGTTTCTCCAGTAAACTCTGATAGTCCGGGATTCCATAAAACAGCGCTTCTATGATCAAGCACGTACGCAGCCAGTGGTGTTCATCGAACAGAAACACTCGCAGGTTCCAAAATAGAGCATGCGCAAAGGAGTGATCAAAGAAACTTTTCTTCAGCAGCATTTCTGTGAGGTCATTTGTCAAGTACCTTTCGAACTTCAGACACTCGCAAATCTGCAGCAAGTAGTTCTTCAACTCAGATACTGGCTTTTTGTCCAGATGCTGGACTGCAAACTTTCGAACTTCGATGTCTTGACAGTGGAACCCCAACAGCACCAGGCACTGGTCTGTCTTCAATGCATGTTCACCCGCAGGCTGACACTTTTCGAGGATAAGTTTCAGATTGTGGACCATATCGGCGTCTGAGAAATCCACACATTTGACTATCTGAGGCAGCCAAAGTAGTAAACTCTGGCCACAGAAAATATTTGTATCTGGCAGCCCTTGGTAATAGTACTCTACAGCTTGTTTGAATATCCAAACTTTCTCTTCCAGAGGTCTTTCGTCGATGTTCGATAGGTGCCATAATGAAACATGGGTGAGTTTGTTGATCTTGCTCAGCCATTGGACGTTGAGTCCGCTTGAGAGGGGGTTCTCGAATCTGTACAGGTGTTTGTGTGTCTTGTGGGACATGCAACTGATCACCAATCTGACCCCAGACTCGTGTTTCTTCTGGAACGTCCGGAAGTTGTCTATCGTTGTTCCTGCAAACCACTATTCTATTGCAATTTAACTGCCTCGAACTACTTAGACTCTTCAGCCGCGATTCATTTAGATTAATCAAAATGAAGATACAACTTAGCCAAAAAGCCGCGAATGGCAAACATTCCACATGATTTTAAAACATTTAGCAACGATATCTGTGGATAAAGAAGAAGAATAGCAAACGACAATTAAGTTATCTTCTCTTTTGCACAAGTTTGTCATCATACTAATGACCATTTTTTAAATCTTACTAATATTGTTCCCTCATTGTTTCGTTTACCTGTGAGGTTCGGCTGGTCTAGTGCGATACTGTCTTGAGGCATCTCCCACAAGTGCAGATTGTTGGGACCACACTTGAGCAGTTCATTGTGGTCGAACACACAAAAATTAGCCCAGAACTTCTTCACGTAGTCGTACTGCGAGGGCTTCTCGGTCTTTGATATCGTCACTATGAAACACAGAGTTGCCGACCTAAAACGACGACACATTTTATCAGGAGGGTTTCATGTTTAAAATGACAAACCCAATACAAGAACAGGTTAAATTCTCGACTTCTATCATGTTTTCGTTATTTAAATCCGCCAACAAGTTATTATTTTGTAAATTCATAGAATTTTAGAAGGCCCTAAAACTATGTTAGCTGACCAGAATTCAAAAATCCGAAAAAAAACAAACGAAACAAGTCAGCTTTGGGTATTTTTGAAAGTTATTTTACAATTTTCGCCATTTGGTGCGTATTTTTAGCTGTTAAAAAGTAAAATTAAGTATTTAAGCAACTATTTTTGAGAAATGTGTTCAAATATTCACACTTTCATCTGTTACCTTGGCAGTGAGCACACTGGTACTTCTGTTCTGCCTTGTACGTGGGTGGAGGGCCTGTGTCCCCCTCCCCCCTCTTGCAGGGCCCACTGGGCCTCGTTCTTCTTCTTGGTGGGGAAGGTGACCTGAGTAACAATTGTGTCCCCAAATGTCAGGTAGCTGTTCACTGTCACCCAATAGTTCTCTCCTTTGAGCTCAGCCTCAACTATAATTAACATAAATAATGATGAAGAAATAACAGAGGCGATACACACCCTTTGCAATACCACAAACAAAGCATTGCCAAACAGAAAACACTGAATTTTGTCTGAATAATGCTCTATTTGAAAACAATACAAAAAAACAAATGCCGGCGTAAAATAAGTCTTCAGAATCATTTATCGAGCGGCAAATCAGCCGACATAAGTTGGGTAAACTCCCGTTGTCATGCGCAAGCCGAAACAATTGAAGCAGCAAATAAAGCTGTCAACCAAAAATAAAAGAACTTCAAAAAATCAGCTTGATTAATGTACATATTACATGAATTTATTAGGGGGTTCAGCTAAAGGTCGAGGTACCTGTTTAATATTTTTTTTTTGGATTTGTTGTACTGATTCAGAATGAAATGGGTAGTTTCAAATATTCAACACAGGCGAAGTTGTACTTTGCGCATACACAAGCAAAAACATGACCGATAGCGCTACTGGGAAAAATTGAATGAGTATAACATAAATTCTTAAGTGACGCATGCCAATTATGAGTCTACATAAATGCTAAGTGACGCAGGCCAATTATGACTCATTAGCAGTACCAGTCAATTTGAAAAAAAACCATTCACCAACTAACATGCCCCGATTTATAGAACGGACGCATTTTAACTAGTATACAAAAAAGTTCATTGAAAACATCCGACCCTGCCCAGGGTCGAACCTCTTAATTTATTGCGGGTCTCCTTCCCTACCTCTACGCTACAGATCCATGATACCTTGAACCTTAAGTGCTATTTGTAATATAGTAGTCTGTGTCAATATCCTTAGCATTGGCTGTACTCAATAGCTGGTTATTGATCAAAATGAACACTATTAGTCGCGACACTATTATTTGCGAAAAAAGAGAGTTCATACTATCACACAGGCTTTGCTTGTAAAAAAAGGGGTTCACCCTAAACCTTAGTAGTTTCTTATAGTTCGTGTTAAATAAAATAAGAAAGAAAATATTTGACAATTTAGAATAGCATAACATTTTCTCAAATGTTCTAAGGCAAGGCCGCTTATGCAAGGAGGCTTCCCACAACCTGTTGTTTCGATTAGATCTTTGATATCAGACTCAGCTGGGTAGTTTTCGAAAAAAAATAGGATCAGAAAAGGATCAAAAAATCAAAAACTTGACACTTCCGAGGACCGTAAGTTTCTGTGTAAAATTGGGCAGTTCTGTTGATACAGGGGAGCTTCCAACCGATCAATCTTTTGATTAAGATAATAATAATAATAATAATAATTATTATTATTAAGCCCAAAATCTCAGATTTGGAAGTGTAGATTTCGAGAAAAGTCATGAAGCTTCGAAAAACGGTCAAAAAGTCAAAAATTTGACTTTTCCGGTCCATAACTTAGCGTGTAAACAAAATTGGGTAGAGCTGACTTGTATGTCCGGCTGGGTGAATGGCAGTAAAAGAGCCACCGAATATATTCCTACCTTCGTCTCCGAGCATAACGGCTGAGGGGTGAAACGTGTACCTCTCGCCCATGTCCAATGAAGACACGGAAACCGTCTTCTTATTCCTCTGCTGCTGCTGACGCTTCTCTAAAAACAACACGAACATCTTAAAAAAACAGACAACAGACAGTTGGGAAAACTTCAAGGTACTCGAGATCAGGAAAGACGTCTTTTTAAAATATTTTTGACTTTCGATACTTCATGAGAGGTTATTTAACAAATAAACACAGCGGTGAAGCAGCACTTCGTACCACTTGAGATAGAGAAAAGAACGAATATCACTACCTGCAGATGAAACGACAACCGAAAATTAAAAAAAAACTTCCTTTCAAGAAAATATGCCAAGTAAGACTTGTTTATATTGAAAAACTGTTTATATTGAAAAAAAACTCCTCCAGAAAAACTTTAAATCCCCCTCAAAAATTTAGATAAAACCTTTTGCTCATCAAACGACTCAAAAAGGGTCCATAATGACATACATTATAAGCCGAAAATAAAAGAAAAAATGCTATACAGAAATCGGAGTTGGTAAATTTACAATGAAAATATAAAACAAATTTTGTATGAAACGGACTTTCAAAATTCAGCTTTGCTCAAAAATTGTCGGTTCGCTGACGAAAGTAGGGATAGAGGACAACCATATTCAGTTATCACGCGAACAAAGTTCTTAACGGGGGAAAAAGTCTCGTATCCGATTGCAACACCATTAATTATCGCAAGGTTACAGAAAATTGGACTGAAAATCAAAAACTCATACCAGTTTTATCTACACTGGGACAATTATTTGATTATAATTTTTGCAATCCAAATCACACAATACGCCATAATCCCGACCCACTTCGTGATAGGCGAAGCAGCACTTCCTAAACACCTGTCAAAAAACCAACAGCATACTGGATCATTAAGTATTTTTTTTTCGCTGAGAAAACTGAAAATTGAAATCCATTTACAAAACTAGAAGTTCATCACGTTTTTCTTGACCTTTAGACTTTTGCTAATCAATATTGAAGCTTGCCTTTCTTTTAACAAAGGAAACGAAAAGAATTTAAAAAAAAATCAAAACTCAAATCGCGAAAAAGTAAATTTGAGCCTGAACAAATTTCAAGACTTTTCCCAAAAAAAAAAAATCAACACGACATATGTAAAAGTCTGAACTACGATCATAGACTGTCAGCAAAAATTACAAACTTCAAGCCCATTCTTGTTATCAAAAAAGACGGCAGAAGGGATTAATTTTTACAATTGGGCGTACAAGTGGTCTATGAAAAAAATATCTCGAAAACAATTCCGATAAACTTCGCTCTAATCACAATTGCAAGGGTTTATTATGACAAATGACCTTTGACAGCTAATTGTGATATATGTTAAAACATGACTCTCCGTCGGGAAAAACTAAAACAGAGCCAATATACAGATGGAAAAGAGTCACTGATCGCAAGTAAACAGAAAAAAAACTGAAAAATCGAATTTTCGATTTAAAAAATAGATGTTCTTAGAGTTGGTTGATTTTCTAGAACAATTTATGATAAATTTCATCCCATTTGAGAAAACTGGATCAATAAGTAAAAGTTTTTTAGCTGGGAATTCTAAAAATTAAAATCGACTTTCAAAACTAGAAGATTTTCGTGATTTTTACACGAAAGTGGAGTTTGCTAGTGGATTTGCTGTTCGATAGTGGAGTGTGCCTTCCTTTTAACAAAAATAATGAGCTGAATTTGAGCTTTTACATGAGCTTTAACCAAGGAAATGAGCCTAATCAAATTTTTTGACTTTTCCTGAAAAATCATCGCGGCATTTGTAAGAGTTTGAACTACGTTCATCGACTCTAAACAGCTGTTTTAACTGAACTTTTCACTTCGCCGTCGGCACAAAAATTCAGAAACCAATCTACATTTTTCGGACGCAACTGTCATACTTGCACTCAACTGATTACTCATCTGTTGTATATTACTTATCTATTGTATATTATAACTAACCGGCCTTCTCCAAGTCCTGTTTTGTGTGGGCCAGGTCATTGGTCATATTACTTATCTGTTGTATATTATAACTAACCGGCCTTCTCCAAGTCCTGTTTTGTGTGGGCCAGGTCAATGGTCATATTACTTATCTGTTGTATATTATAACTAACCGGCCTTCTCCAAGTCCTGTTTTGTGTGGGCCAGGTCATTGGTCATATTACTTATCTGTTGTATATTATAACTAACCGGCCTTCTCCAAGTCCTGTTTTGTGTGGGCCAGGTCATTGGTCATATTACTTATCTGTTGTATATTATAACTAACCGGCCTTCTCCAAGTCCTGTTTTGTGTGGGCCAGGCCATTGGTCATATTACTTATCTGTTGTATATTATAACTAACCGGCCTTCTCCAAGTCCTGTTTTGTGTGGGCCAGGTCATTGGCCATATTACTTATCTGTTGTACATTATAACTAACCGGCCTTCTCCAAGTCCTGTTTTGTGTGGGCCAGGTCATTGGTCATGTTACTTATCTGTTGTACATTATAACTAACCGGCCTTCTCCAAGTCCTGTTTTGTGTGGGCCAGCTCATTGGTCATATTACTTATCTGTTGTACATTATAACTAACCGGCATTCTCCAAGTCCTGTTTTGTGTGGGCCAGGTCATTGGTCATATTACTTATCTGTTGTATATTATAACTAACCGGCCTTCTCCAAGTCCTGTTTTGTGTGGGCCAGGTCATTGGTCATATTACTTATCTGTTGTATATTATAACTAACCGGCCTTCTCCAAGTCCTGTTTTGTGTGGGCCAGGTCATTGGTCATATTACTTATCTGTTGTAAATTATAACTAACCGGCCTTCTCCAAGTCCTGTTTTGTGTGGGCCAGGTCATTGGTCATATTACTTATCTGTTGTACATTATAACTAACCGGCCTTCTCCAAGTCCTGTTTTGTGTGGGCCAGGTCATTGGTCATATTACTTATCTGTTGTATATTATAACTAACCGGCCTTCTCCAAGTCCTGTTTTGTGTGGGCCAGGTCATTGGTCATATTACTTATCTGTTGTACATTATAACTAACCGGCCTTCTCCAAGTCCTGTTTTGTGTGGGCCAGGTCATTGGTCATATTACTTATCTGTTGTATATTATAACTAACCGGCCTTCTCCAAGTCCTGTTTTGTGTGGGCCAGGTCATTGGTCATATTACTTATCTGTTGTATATTATAACTAACCGGCCTTCTCCAAGTCCTGTTTTGTGTGGGCCAGGTCATTGGTCATATTACTTATCTGTTGTACATTATAACTAACCGGCCTTCTCCAAGTCCTGTTTTGTGTGGGCCAGGTCATTGGTCATATTACTTATCTGTTGTATATTATAACTAACCGGCCTTCTCCAAGTCCTGTTTTGTGTGGGCCAGGTCATTAGTCATATTACTTATCTGTTGTATATTATAACTAACCGGCCTTCTCCAATTCCTGTTTTGTGTGGGCCAGGTCATTGGTCATATTACTTATCTGTTGTACATTATAACTAACCGGCCTTCTCCAAGTCCTGTTTTGTGTGGGCCAGGTCATTGGTCATATTACTTATCTGTTGTACATTATAACTAACCGGCCTTCTCCAAGTCCTGTTTTGTGTGGGCCAGGTCATTGGTCATATTACTTATCTGTTGTATATTATAACTAATCGGCCTTCTCCAATTCCTGTTTTGTGTGGGCCAGGTCATTGGTCATATTACTTATCTGTTGTATATTATAACTAACCGGCCTTCTCCAAGTCCTGTTTTGTGTGGGCCAGGTCATTGGTCATATTACTTATCTGTTGTATATTATAACTAACCGGCCTTCTCCAAGTCCTGTTTTGTGTAGGCCAGGTCATTGGTCATATTACTTATCTGTTGTATATTATAACTAACCGGCCTTCTCCAAGCCCTGTTTTGTGTGGGTCAGGTCATTGGTCATATTACTTATCTGTTGTATATTATAACTAACCGGCCTTCTCCAAGTCCTGTTTTGTGTGGGCCAGGTCATTGGTCATATTACTTATCTGTTGTATATTATAACTAACCGGCCTTCTCCAAGTCCTGTTTTGTGTGGGCCAGGTCATTGGTCATATTACTTATCTGTTGTATATTATAACTAACCGGCCTTCTCCAAGTCCTGTTTTGTGTGGGCCAGGTCATTGGTCATATTACTTATCTGTTGTACATTATAACTAACCGGCCTTCTCCAAGTCCTGTTTTGTGTGGGCCAGGTCATTGGTCATATTACTTATCTGTTGTATATTATAACTAACCGGCCTTCTCCAAGTCCTGTTTTGTGTGGGCCAGGTCATTGGTCATATTACTTATCTGTTGTATATTATAACTAACCGGCCTTCTCCAAGTCCTGTTTTGTGTGGGCCAGGTCATTGGTCATATTACTTATCTGTTGTATATTATAACTAACCGGCCTTCTCCAAGTCCTGTTTTGTGTGGGCCAGGTCATTGGTCATATTACTTATCTGTTGTATATTATAACTAACCGGCCTTCTCCAAGTCCTGTTTTGTGTGGGCCAGGTCATTGGTCATATTGCTTATCTGTTGTATATTATAACTAACCGGCCTTCTCCAAGTCCTGTTTTGTGTGGGCCAGGTCATTGGTCATATTACTTATCTGTTGTATATTATAACTAACCGGCCTTCTCCAAGTCCTGTTTTGTGTGGGCCAGGTCATTGGTCATATTTCTTATCTGTTGTATATTATAACTAACCGGCCTTCTCCAAGTCCTGTTTTGTGTGGGCCAGGTCATTGGTCATATTACTTATCTGTTGTACATTATAACTAACCGGCCTTCTCCAAGTCCTGTTTTGTGTGGGCCAGGTCATTGGTCATATTACTTATCTGTTGTATATTATAATTAACCGGCCTTAGCCAAGTCCTGTTTTGTGTGGGCCAGGTCATTGGTCATATTACTTATCTGTTGTATATTATAACTAACCGGCCTTCTCCAAGTCCTGTTTTGTGTGGGCCAGGTCATTGGTCATATTACTTATCTGTTGTATATTATAACTAACCGGCCTTCTCCAAGTCCTGTTTTGTGTGGGCCAGGTCATTGGTCATATTACTTATCTGTTGTATATTATAA